TTCTTCAATACTTGGAGCTTCTTTGGGTCGTCCATTCCTGACGCTGCTTTGATGGGTAGGTCAGAACCGACAGGAATATGAGCTTGACTGTGCTGCTGAATATCAGTCACTGTCATCGCTGCAGCTTGTGCGGTCCTGACCTCCCACGCAGTTTGTGTAGAAGCTGCTCGTTAATACGAGCCAACAGGTTGGTATTTGATAAAGCGTATTCATAATTGGAGGTTACTGAACTGCGGCGCTAATAACAGGTAGCGTTAGGAGGGGAAGATTTTTCACCGCAGCCATTCTGTATGCTACTTTCGGTTTGGTTTTCTGCAGAAGTTTACACCTTTCATTCAGATAAGATTTCTTTGAGATTGCTCAGTACTGACCTTAATGTATTCTCTTAAGAAATATTATTATTAACTATTTGCTTAGGTGTGGTGCTTTCCTACCCTGGGATTCCCAGCCTTGATAGCTAGAGCAGGTGTGTTTCAGAGCTACCTGCTTAGCTGCGCTATCTCCATCTGTGTTTTGGTGGTTGTGAGAAACATCCCTTCCTGGGTGTACTGGCTTTGAGGTTGTTTGTTTTTTTTTCTGTGGGTTTTTCCCTTAATCTTTTTCCTGTCTTGCATGCCCCTGGCAAATCAGCCGCAACCTGCCTCTTAGCCAGGGTATTGGATGCAGGTGTATAATGCTGTTACTAAATTCCTTTCCTCAGTCACTGAATGATAACAATGTGAGATGACAAACATATTTCCATAATTATTTTTGATCTGTTTAACATATCCTTTTTTTTAATCTCCTCAGCATTTGCAAAGAAAGCAAAGCGTTACAATCGTATCTGGCATCTTCAAGACCCCAGCTGCCACCTGCTTCATGCAGTTATTCATACTTTTCCTTTCCAAGACCTGTCTTACTCTTTTTCATCCATGACTGGATGAAGTACGCTGGTTTATTGTCTTTCATTTTGGAGATAAGCAGAAGAAATTGGGAAAAGATCCTTGACTGTCTTCATTGTGGCATTTTTCAGAGTGCTTGTCTTTTCTGTTGTGGGGGGATTTTATGATATTTTTTAAGATGGAATGTTTACAACTCATTGAGCATCATCTTGGGACTTAGAAACTAATAATAAGTCTAACATAAAATAATTACTTTTTTCTAAAAACGTTTGTTTTATTACCTACCCCTACTTCATTTCATGCATGGGGGAATACTACTAAACTCCATATTGCACATTGCAATTTGTTCCTAAATAGTCATATCTTTCAAACAGCATAGCATGAAACAATTTGAAGAGTAAGTACCTAATTCAAACGGATAAAACAACTCATTCTTTAGCAGTTTCCCAGTTTTAGGGTAAGAGGATTTACCCTTGCATATCTAAACCAAATACTCAAGTGCTCTTTTTTGGTACCTGATAAAAGGATGAGTTCTCTTTTGTTTTTGAACAGAATTATCCTACCAGAGGACATATGGGTAGTTGGGGGTGGGGTATTTCGCTTTTTTAAAATCTGGAATTTGTAAAATGAGGGTTATGTCATGTTGTAAGCATTTCTGAAAAAGAAAGAGATGGGAAAATTTAATCTTTATTCATTTTTGGAGGCATTAGGGATGTTGTGACTAAAACAGGGCTTCACGCAACATAAATGGACTGTTAATTTCTCAGTGGATTATTGAGAGGGTAGCGCTCTTCGGATTCAATAGAATTCTTTAACATGATTTTAAAAGTGTGTTTTTTCAGTATTTTATTTTATGCCAGAAGGGTCCAATTAGTTGAGCCCCAGTGTATTAAAACCAAAACTGACCATGCTGAGCCCGTGTTGCTGTACTGTATTTGATGAGATGTTGTTATTAAGTAGTGCAAGATGTTTTGCTTTTTATTACAAATTTTATTACAGTATTCAAGTGTAGAAGAAAGGAAGGGGTAGGAATAATTTTTAAAACTATTTTTATAATTTAATGTTTACCTAATAGTTTCTGGACCGTACTGCCAAAACGTTATGACTGTGTTCTGAACTCTTCCAGTGGGTTATTGACTTTGTCTGGGAGCGGAGGAGCCATGTGTAGTTTTACTCAAGAGCAGATTTTATTCCGTTTGTTTGTCATTTTAACTGAAGTTAGATCTGAGATTAGCTGTGCAAACCTCCAGCTGCTAGGCTATATGTGATGTTACCACAATGTGATAACTTACTTTGGTAGACATGTGCAATATTTTTACCCGTGGGTCCCACGAAGGTAAAAATAAGGGTCAAAGATTTGTGATGAGAAGAGAACCACTTCGAAGTTACAGTGAAATATGAGTGTGCAAGTACCCCTAAAGCTGGACAGTAACAAGAGGCTTAGGTCATACTTAGTTTCAGGCAAGTGCAAAAGAAAAACTTCTAATATATTGAGCTTTGACATACCCTTCATGTGGAAGACGTGTAATGAAAGCACACGTAACTCTTTGTTATATTATACCCAGCTGCTTTTTCATTATGTAATGACTTCTTACATGTCCTCTCAATGTATGAATGTATTTAATAGCTTTGGCATTGGGGCTTACTTTTAACATTTGGAGCAAAGAACATGGTTGGCAAAGTGTTGGGGGCAGCAGGGAGTCAAGTTCTGGCTCTCACATAATTAAAAAATGAGCTGTGCTTTTGTAGGGCCTTTTATTCAGCCTGCTCTTGTTGAGCTCGTGTTGCCTGGGAAAGACCAGCGAGCAGCTCTTGAAGATGCAGTTTGCATCCATAAATTAACTAAGAACATCTGAGGGCAGTTGCTAAATGCATTAATAATTGTGCAAACATGTAGTTTTGTTGTTTACAGAATGGTGGATAGGACCCTGGAGGAGCAGCTAGCAAAAATGATGTGAAGAGAAGCAGCAGAGGAATGTAGATGGGCAGGGATCTCATTTTCACACAGCTGTACTGTAGAAGCAAATGGTTTGATATTTTGTTATGTTATATCTTTGCCTATTGATTTTGCCTCAGGAAAATTCAGTGTAGTTTCTCTCGTGAATGATGAAAGCTCTGATTTTTGGTTTGCTTGAGGGTAAGGGGGAAAGGCATTGGGTCCAAAGGAGTTAGATTAGGGATCTTCCCAGAACTTGGCCCAGATGTAACCTCGCAAGCCATAAGACTTTTGCAACTCTAATAATTATTGAGCTGAAGTGTATCTATTGACACGTCTGTAGGTACAAATTAAAATCAAGCTGAGACCTACAGAATGAGGTAAAATTTGTGTGAACGTCAAGGAAATGCCCTTTCCTCATGTGAGGTGAAGTCTTTATAACCAGAGCCATCAGATTAGGTAAAATATAAAATAGCTTCCGCTTGTAGGAAAACTTCTTCACTTGATTTTAACATACTTTCCAAATACAACGATCACACAGGAAAAAATTCACATTGTATTTCAGCCTGTAGTCACCGTTTGAATTTTCTTATGAAATAGCTTTCAAGTTCTTTAAGTATTAAAAAACCCACGTATTTCAGAAGGAACTGTATGAAGTGCAAGATTTTCGGTTCCTACGTTTCAGTATTTGGTGTTAAATCTGATGTTTGCTTGTTCCAGAACTGTTTTATAACTTTGGCTGACCTTTTTAAATACTTGGTTTATACAGCGCTGACGACATGTTACAGACTTAGAAACTTGTTAACTTGAAAATCTAAAAGAATACATTTAAGAAGATAGGAACCTTGGCAAAAATTGTTTGTGATTTCAACTTTTAAATGTTGACGTGCAAGCTCAGACAAAATATTGAGATACAGTTGTGTGAGGGTAAATACTTTCCTAAAATACCCATGTTCAGGAATCTAGTAAAATTTCACACCTCCTACATGTCCAGAACAACTGTTGCTAGAATTTAAACAGTTTGTGTAGAAATGCCCAAAATCAGAACTGTTGCCTTTGGCAATGAATCCATGCTTAAGTTACCAAAACTGAACTGAAAGCGAAACTTTTCCATCTTGTACTGCTCCTCTTATTTTAATTTTTAAACACTCATGTAATATTCTTGGGTCTTCTTGTATTTGTGTGTTATGTGAACACTGTGTAGGGATTTAGAGGTTCCAGAATGTCCTAGGTGGTGTCCTGAGAGCTTCATAACATTCTAAAATAGTAATGTACAAGACTGATTATCCTCATACTTGGTATTCACCAGAATTTATTGCTGTAAATGTGTGAGAAAAATGCCCTTGGTCATTCTTAAATTATATATATATATATATTAAAAAAAAAATCCTTGAAAACACTTCTTGAAGTATTTTTCCATCACTGCCGATGCTTGACATTTAATAACAACTTAGACCTTTACTATGTATTCTTGCAGTGTCCTAACGGAAGAGCTGAAGATCTTCGTGCTCTAAACACTTTTAATTTAGTTGGAAGTGGCTCTCATTAATTTAAAAATATGTATTAATTGAAAAGTTTGCGTGTCAGAGCAGTGTAGTCTGTTACCACTATGGTTATTTGAGTATAATGCTTGGATAACTGGTGGATTATAAGAAAATACTTCAATAGTTAAGGTATTCATTCCTGCTCAGGAATCATAGAAGAACACATAATAAAACTGTATATTGGAAGAGTATGTATTATCTGTATATTTTCATAAGTTACCAATATAATTGTTCACTCGTTTTCTGGAATGCTTTACAAGGCACTGATTCCTTTTAAGAAAATGAACAGAAGTGAGTTAGTATCCTTTACATGGGTCTGAATACATTCCTGTAGCTAACGAGGGCGAATTCTCATCAGAATCAGCACCACTTATTATAACCACTGGCAAAAAAAAATAAAAAAAGGTTTTTATCACAGCTGATGAATTATGAATGAAAACTGCAAAGATATAAATTTGTCTGTCAGATTGAATTCTCAACCTCTTATTACAGGTGTTCCTGATTAGGAGGTGGGGTAAGGTAATTGCAGAACTCTGCTCAGGTGCTTGTACTTAGGCAGCCGGCTTTGTTTCTAGGGGAGGAGCACCCTCGGTGATGCACGGTTATAGGTGTAGCCTGAACTTTGTCTTCTCTTTGCAGGCAGAACTTGTTGATATACAGTATGGGACCGTGGAAGACTTGCTCCGGATTCAAGCCATTACAAACGTGACCAAAAAAATTGCACTTTTGAAGCTAGGACAATCGCCATTGCTTTATAAGGTTGGTCAAATGCTTGTTGCGCTTTAGCTGAATTATTTATTTGGTTTTTTTGTGTTTCAGAATACCAAAACAAAGACTACTGCATTCTATCCCAGTAAGTCAGGATTTACTGGCATTCAGAGTCTTCCTAGCCACTTCAACCCGCGGTGCCTTTTATGTGTTACAGTTATTTATTTTGCCGCATATCTTACAGTGCCCCGGTAGGATACCGTATTTTTTCTGGGTGTACTCTAAGCCTTTTGGCAAATAAAGAAATCACTAAAAGAAATAAAAAAAGATGAGGGGAAAAAAAAGGCAACCGAGATCAGGAACAGTTGGATCTGTGTCTGCTAAAAACGTACATACAACTGCACCGAAGTCTTGTGTTTCTGCATAATTGTACGTAGCAGTTGGCCTGCCGGCTGTAGTTGAAGCGTGCCGTGAGAGGGGCAGAGCACAGGACGTGCTCGCCTGGCCTTGGGCTTCTCTGGGTCTTTCCAGCCCCACTGGGCTGTGTCCAAAGCTCAGCGCTTTGGGCTTTACTCCAGATGCGTGAGGTAGTAACCAATAGCCGACGCTGCAGGAGGACTCACGCTACTGTTTATGGATTTGTTTAAGAAATGACATTGTAACTTGATTTCATCGTGACACGATGCAGTCTTGCTCTGGGAGAATTTGCCTTTGCACCTTGGTTCTTTCTGCCATCCTTACCACCTCAGAAGGAAGAAAGGGACGGAGAGTTGGAAAGGGGCATTAACTTCAGTGGTGTTTTCTGCCGTGTAAAATGTGGAAGCAGACTACCCTGAGGTACGCAGGTAGGCATTTATCTCCCCTGCCATTAATGGTCTGCCACTCCTGTGAAATCACTGGGATTTACTGGTCTAGGGGTGGGTTACCGCCAGTTCAGAACGAGAACCATGTTTTTCTTCCACTCCCTCCTTCCTTCCCCTTTGGTTGGGGCCGTGCGTGGGGAGGCGTGTGCAGGGGTATGTGTGTGTCCGTTCCCTCTCCTCCTGCTCCAGCGCCGGCAGAGAGTGCGGAGGTGGAGTCGCTAGTCCGCTTGCACGTAACAGACTCAACATATAAACCACATTTAAACTCTAAATGTCAAGTAACTGCCTTCCATTGCAAATATTTTATAAACAAAAATGCTGTTTTGCCTTTCGGAAAATACACTAGCCCAATAAATATTTAAACAATTCATTCCCAATTCACAAAAGCAATTATAAAAGAACAGTGACTCCAGATCTTATAATTAAGAGAATCAGGATCTGCTCTGTCGGCCATAGAAAGCACAATCGGGACCACAATACAGGTTCAGAAAATAAGCACTTAATATTTTTTTTCTGTAGCAATGATATTTGTCTCAATAAAAATGCCATTTTTAACCGAGTAGCTTTAGCGGGTTATTTAAATTATTTAGATGCAATCTAATTACGCCCGTGAAAGGTCAGTTATCATTGTTGGAACTTGGCTGTTGTGCATCATTTCCAGCAATGGATCTTTTACTGCATTTCACCGCTGACAAAAGCAATGAAATAACAACTGGGGCTCATAAAGTAGGAATTTGATAAAGATGCAAAGTTTGCTGTAATAGAACTGTCTGAAGTGTCCGTGAGATGGACTTTTTACCAATTTAATTTGCGTTCCTGTCAGCACTTACTGTGTCTAGATTAGCGAGTAGTGCAGCCTGCAGGAGTAGGGCAGAGCAGTCGGTGCTGAGGACAGGGCCCATCTCAGGACCTTCTACTGTGGGTCGGCTGCGGTCCGGTCCCAAGAAGTAAATGCGAAGTGGTGGCGGAGGTGGATTAGCCGCACTTCTGGTGCTCATCCATGATTCCAAAAGAACCCATTTTGCACGTGCAGAGTCTGTTACACAATGCGAACCAAAGTGTGGTGTGATCTGGAGACTGATTTCGAGGGCACGCTCGGGATCCGAGCTAAAAATACAATTCCCCAAACCTACTGTTTGTGTTCCGCTCACGCAGGTAGGAAGTTTGCCCTGTATTTGTTATTTCTTCTTTTTGAGGTTGTACACTTGTCTTTTTTTTTTTTTTTCTTTTTTTCTCTTTAGAATATAAATTGTCTCTCTTTGGCTGTGAAATAATTGTAAGCTATTAAAAGTGTGCAAAAACATCAGAAATAGATTCTTCTTTCATAAGGATTATTTGAAGCGAAAGGGAAAGATTGTCTTAAACAGCAAGTCCTGCTTGTTTAAAGGGGCCCAGTATCTCACCACTGAATCCACTGTTTGTGGTTTTTTTCCCCCTAATGTTTATGTTTCTGTACTTACCGAGCCTCACATTTCTGTTCCAGCAGATACTTCCCTCTGCCTATATTTTCCTTATCTCTGCCTTCCACGTCCTTGGTTTTACATCACATTAAAACAGAATGCTAGGTCATAGCAGAGCTGTCGCTATATAAATTTCTGTATTTAACTTGTATTTTTCACACTTTAGTGTTCTTTAATTTCTCATTATTATTACTTCATATTATACAAATATCTCACTCTGGATTTTTATAGATCCTGCACTGAGGTTTCATCTTCATAACAGAGTTTCTAATCATGTCTCTGCTTTTCAGCTTTGCGTTTTCCCTCGCACGGGTATGCTTCTTTGCCTCCCTCTCTCTCACTGCCATCATCAACTGCTGATTTTCATGTGTTTTTCCTATTTTCCCCTTTTGTGTTTTTAATTTGCCTTTTTTTTTTTTTTTTAAATCTCGACTGTTCTTTGTTTCCATATTGAGTCCATTGGAAAAAGCCTGAAAGAAATAAACTGCTGCTGGCAGAAAACTCACCGTGAAAACTGAACAACGTTTCTTTAGTCTTTACATCGCAATAACAGAAAGAGGTATCTGCTGGTAGAGAACAGCTTGATGTACAAGGGGATAATTTATAGAAATAAGCCCAAGTGATGGAAATTTGAATATTCAGAAAAATAATGGTATTACTGACAATATTTTTGGCTGTAGAGGTTTAGCTTGGTGTTTTATGGAGATTGGATAGGGTATAAAATTTGGGGGAGGATCAAGGTTGAAAATAATTTGGAGCTTTTACTTTCAGTCTGTCAGATTGGGCCTGTCTCATATCTTCAGACCCGCTGAAAACAACAGACAGGGTTCACAGCTTGGAGTCACTTGGAATTGGAATATACAGGGAATTTGGAGTATACAGAAAAGCCTGAAGTTAATGTGCTGGTAGAATAGGCAGCTGAATCCTTAGTGTGGGTAGTTCTGATCAGATTTGGTAAGGTTCATAAATTTAAGCTGCTTTATGAGAACAAGATTTGTAAAAAATCTGACCTTAAGTTATTTTTGTAATTGAATATGATTTTCAGATTTTATTGGGAGTGTTGTATTTCTGTTCCACTGAAACAGAATGTAGTGTCCGATCGGGGAAGGGGGCGGCCGTTATGGCAGCGGGCACGTTTCCTAGCCTATCGGCAGAGCCACACAGGCACATCTCGATCCCTAAAGCGGGACCTTTTCAAATCAAGAATATGCTACTGCTGCCACATGATAAGTTACACATATAAAAAGAAAGAACATGGACCCTGCCTTTATAGCAGGGTAAAGTCTCAAAGAGAGCATTGACTCTGGAGGGGAAAAAAACAAAAAACAAAAATCAAAACAAACAGGTAGAGCTTATATTGCTGTGATAAAAAGAACAGATGAAAAAGGGATATGTATTAATGTATATATAAATCAGAGTGGACTGGAGGTTTAGAAAAGGGTTTTACCATTGATATGGCACTATCAAGATCAGTAAGGGAGCAAGACTCTGTAGTCTATTATAAAATTAATATTAAAAGTGGGAGAAAAGAATGGTAGAAATGCTCCAAGGGCTGGAGCAAGTTACAGCATGGCAAAGGCAGAGTCCTTTCAAGTGCCACTGAAAGGTTTAGGAATTTACTGCTGCCGGCACCCGGAGTGACAATTTCCTACAGCCGCACAGACTGAGGCGGTGGGCGGAGGAGGGAAGCGTGCAGGGAGTGCTCGGCCGATGCATTAAGTTGGCGTAGCCACGATGCTAGTCATCTCTGTCTCTTTAGACAGAACAACTCGCAGTGCTGAATAACTGACAGAAGGAAAAATTTTCAACTACTATGGCTACTCCTAAAGGGATCTCGTGACTACTCTGAGACACTCCTAAGAGCTGGATTGGTTCTGGATAAAGAGGGGACTGGATTAAGGAAGGACAAAAACGTCCTGAAGGAGAAAGCTGGAATGAGAGACACACAGAAGAGAAGTGAAGCACAATGTCTGGTATTCACCACCATAAAAAAGGTAGAGCGCTTGCTTCCTCACGCCTTCAGATTGGAAGTGGCTGCCTTCTGGTGTTCTGGCTAGAAGGAAAGTTTGTGTTTTGGTGGAACTCAGGTTACTGGGATCACTGGTGAACTTCATAGCCAGTTACAGGAGGTCAGAGCAGACTCCCTGGTGTCCTTGAATCAGGAGGACCTATACGTGTGGGGAAAGATGATGAAATTTATGCCTAGTGATGAAGTAAATCACTCCTCTGATGTAGAACGCCTTCTTGAGAAAGAGCGATTTGAGTTGCCTGCTCCCTTTGTAGACAAGAAACATGTTCTAATGGTATAAAATGGGTGGGGACAGGAAGGTGGCTGAAACCCCCTCACTAGCGCCCAGCTCCTCTGCCCTCAAACTCGCCTGAGCCGATGTCGCCACCGTAAGCACGTAACAGAAGCCAGAGGAGGCTTTTTTTCAGGGAGAACTGCACAGTAGTTTCAGTGTCCAGCCTCTGGAAATACCATCACCAGATTCATTTTTTGAAAAATGTTGTGAGTCTTGATCGTAATTTAATCTTTCGGGGTTGGGATTCAAGGAAAAGCCATAATTTCTGTCCTAAATTAACTTTTAATAGAGTAACAAAAGCTCTGAAGGCCAAACCACTTCATCTTTAAAATGTTCACATATTAACATTTTTTCCACATCCATTAAATGAAGATGTTGTTCTAATGTGTAAATATCTATATTTATTTTAATAATTTACTGTCTTC